TGAGGGGTCCTGGTTGTGATTTGGTGTGTCCCAGCTGTGGACTGAGGGTGGGTTAGGGCGTCCCAGCTGTTGGTTAGGGGGTCCCAGCTGTGGGTTACGGGGTTCCAGCTGTGGGTTAGGGGTCCCTGCTGTGTGTCATGGGGTCCCAGCTTCCTGGCTGTGGTTTGGGGGGTCCTGACTGTGGGCTGAGGGTTTATCAGCTCAGTCTGCCCTGAATTCCCTCCCTGGGCAGGACTGGGGAGTGCAGGGTGCAGGTGTTAGATCCGACTTTGGTGTTTGTGCCGAAGGAGCTGGAGCAGATGGCGAAGGAGCAGGACAAGGAGTCGGAGAAACAAGCTTTGCTGAGGGAGGTGGAGAACCATAAGAAGCAAATGCTCAGGTGGGTCAGGCAGCTGGGGCTGCTCCTGTCAGCAGACAGTCTGACTTGGGTGCAGCATCTCTCAGTTCTGCTTTGAGATGGGAATGTCAGGACAGAATATTGTTGTTCTGTGGTGCAGTGTAGAGAAAGTGAATTGCTGAGGGAGCTGTGGGGGCTCAGCCTGGAGGAAAGGAGGATCAGGGGAGATCTTAGTCCTCTCTACACTCCCTGCCAGGAGGTGCAGGAGGTGGGGTCAGGCTCTGCTTCCAGGGAACAGTGACAGGACAAGAGGAAATGGCCTCAAGCTGTGCCAGGGGAGGTTCAGGTTGGGCATTAGGAGCAATTTCTCCATGGAAAGCTCTGTCAGGCATTGGAATGTGCTGCCCAGGGAGGTGGTGGAGTCCATCCCTGGAAGTGTCCAAGGAACAACTGGACGTGGCACTCAGTGCCCTGGTCTGGCTGCCAAAGTGGAGATGGGTCACAGATTGGGCTTGGTGATCTCAGAACTCTTTTCCAGCCTCAGTGGTCCTGTTGGGGTCTGTGGCTGTCTCAGGGTGCTCAGTTACAGTGGGGGTTACCTGGTGAAAGCTTTCTGTGCTTGCAAGGTGTTACCATCACGTTACAACACTGTGGTTTCAGCAACCAGGCAGCTTGGAGGAAGGCAAACCTGGCCTGCAAAATCGCCATTGACAACTCGGAGAAGGATCAGCTGCTGCAGGGGAGAGACTCTGTCAGACAAAGGTATCAGACTGTCCCTCTGTACCCCGAGAGTCCAGCAGTGTCTGCTGCAAATGGCACAAAGTTAATTTTATGTGGAACATGGATTTTCTTTTTGGAGTGCATTTCCCTTCTGTGGAGATCTGAAGGGCTGTGATCATCTCACATTTCTTTGGATTTGGCATGTCTAAGGACAAAAGGGGATAAATTACCCTTTATAGCTTCTCTTACTGCCTTTGACATTACTTCCAGTCAGGTTCTAAACAAGTCATGGATCATTTTCCCGTGCAGAAGTGGATGTAAGTGTACACAAGTTGTGCAGTGAAAGCAGCAAATGGGTTGTTAGGATGTATGGGATAATGTGGTGGTTAATGTGGGATTGGTAAAGGGTTTGTGTTAGTCCTTCCACAGCAGCTCATCAAGTTCCACAGTCATGGGTAAGCAGGTGGTGGAATCTGAGCCCCTGTGAGGTTCTGAGCTCCTGTTTGGGCTCAGAACTGTAACATCTTGTGGCTTATTTTAGTGTCTGTTGTGAAGCTAACCTCAATTTCTCCTGCAGTGAAACTAGCTGTGTCTTTTGTACGCTGGCAGAGATCTTTGGTGCCAAGCTCTGCTCTGAGCTCCCTGGCAGCAGCACCTTCCCAAAGTACCCAGGGGAATAACTTTATCCCTTCCTGCTTTCCTTTTTCCATTCACAGGAAGACTACAAAGGAGAGCCTGGCAGAGAGTGCAAGTAACATCACGGAGAGCCTGATGGGCATCAGCAGGATGATGTCCCAGCAGGTGCAGCAGAGTGAGGAGACCGTGCAGACCTTAGGTACAGCTGGAATTTGGGAGTTTGGGCATGGATTGGGTGATTGGAGCACCTATTTCCAGTTGTGTCTGGATGGGGAGAGCCAAACAAACATGGTGTAAGCACAGTGGAAACCTCAGCTGAAGGAGAATGTGCTGCTATGATAATGAAAGCACTGTCCAGCAGAAATCCTGTTGGCATAAACAGGACATCATAATGTAGGTTGTGTGGAGCTGTTTGTTGCAGTTTCTGTTTCAGGATTAGGAAAAGGGATCAGGATGAGGAGGTTTTGGTTTCGTTTCACATAAAAGCAGTTGTAAAAGCAACATGAGCTCACACAGTGCGCTGAATATGTTTGGTGTTCTCAGTGCCACTGCCCTGGCATGGGTTTGGTAATGGCAGAGAAAATCAAAGCATGGATACAAGTCCATATACACAGGAAAGAGTCTGGCTGGAAGGCTATTTCCACCCAGGCTCCAGCTGGGATGAGTAAGAGAGGAGGAGATCAAGTGACTTGAACCCGAGGTCACTTGCTGTCAGCAGTGCATCAGGGACTGTGAAGCCAAGATTTCACCCAGTTCTTTGGCGTGGGCTCCTAAACCCATACATCAAGTGACCTGTCAGAGCTGCTGATTCAGGAAGCATTTGGAGCTGTGTTGCCTGGGCCTCTTCCTAGCTGTGCCTTTGGGCAGAGGAGAGAACAGTTTGAAGATGAGGATAAACAACCCAACTTCGCCCCTCTGAGGGTGGCAGCTGGGCACAGTTTGCTCTGCACAAGGACATGTTCCTTCTCCCATTAAAAAGACAGTTTGGCACTTTTCCACCCCTTTCTGACGGAACAGCGCTTGGAGTTCATCAAGGGAAACACCATCAAAGGTCATTTCTAGCTGCAAACTCTGAGTTAGTGTCAGAATTCCTTTCTTCCTGAGCAAGTCCTCCCCTAGGATGTGAATGTTTGAGGCTGTGGAGCAGGGGAAGCTCTGCTGTGTCATTAAATTTTCTGCTGTCCCTTGGATCAAAATGCCTCTTTAATGGGATGTGATGGCACACATGGTTTGCAAAATATTACAGACCTAGTTCTACTCTGCTTGTTCTGGCGAACTAGAGAATGTGTTTGGATTTGCCCTTTCTGTGAGCAGTCAGAGCAGTGTGGGGTGATGCACCAGTCACTGTCCTACAGGCTGTGCACCCTGTGGTGTTGGGAAAAGGGAATTCCAGAGCTTTTGCTTTCATTGAGTAATTTGAAAGCAGAAGGCTGAGGAGTTTGAGGAGTTTGTTTGCTTGTTTGTTTTCCTCACAGGGAAAGCGAAGTTGAGACTAACCGACACTTCTAGTTGACTCTTCTCAGCTTTATTAAGCAAAAAATTACTGTGTTTGTCAAAAATGACTGTTGAAACTGTTTGAGCTGAATAATTAAGGATCTCTTACCACTGCCTGCTGCTTCCTCACTGCTGCAAGCCCTTCTCAGCCTCACTGACTGACTGCTCTGGCCCGGGGGAACTGTTGCAGTTGGGCAGTGGATGTATTCAAACACAAGTTGCTCAGGGAGGCTGTGGCTGCCCCAACCCTGCCAGTGTTCATTTCAGGTTGGATCAAGCCTTGACCAACCTGCTCAAAGTGTCCCTGCCCAGGGCAGGGAGTTGGGGGTGGGTGATCTCTAAGCTCCATTCCAACTCCTTAACATCCTTTGAGCCTATATTGCCCTGTCCTGGTGCTGCTAGAACTGCTGCCAGTGCTGCTGATTCCTGTCTCCAGTGGGTGTTTCTAGCATCTTTCACTCTGCTTCCAGCAGAGTCTCAGCACTGACTGAAAAACATGAACTAGATTTGCTCTGGTAATCTAAAAACTAACAATTCAGGACCTTTAGCAGAGTCTCTGAGCTGTTGAGTTCTCTTATTTTGCTTTGCCTTTTCCCTTAGCACCACTGAGCTGTGACAACAGTGTCTGTTTCACCACAGTCTGACCCAGGAGGATCTCTGCATTGCTAATATTCCTTACAGACTATTGTTTATGTTTGAAGCCCAACCAACTGATTTTATTCCTTCCCCTGAATTCCAGCCAATTCTTCTCGAACCATCCTGGAAGCCAATGAGGAATTCAAGTCCATGTCTGGGACAATCCAGCTGGGGAGGAAGCTGATAACCAAGTACAACCGCAGGGAGCTGACGGACAAGCTGCTCATCTTCCTGGCCCTTGCCTTGTTCCTGGCCACAGTGCTCTATATCCTGAAAAAAAGGCTCTTCCCATTCTTGTAGAATTCCAACACTGAACTGAACTATTAAAGAAAACCAGTCAGGACGAGATGGGTGATACTGGTGGGGCTTTAAATGAAGTAATTAAGGGATGCTGCAGTAGCTGGAAGAGGCTTAGGGCAGGCAGGACTTCGTGGTGTCCCCATTGAGGTTGTGACCTGCCTCAGAAGAGCTTATATGGGTAGGAGTTGAGAAGAAACAGGTAAATCCTGGTATGGAATGGAACTGGAAACTTCCAGTGTGCCAGTGTGGACTTGGAACTTCATTTTGTCCTCAGCTTGGACTGGAACCTGCTCTGACATCTGAGTGTAAGGTGCTGAGGGGGAGAGGAGGGATGGAAGAGAGAAACTCACATACATTCCATTAATAAACTATTTACTGTATTCATGCCAGCAGAGTTTTGTTAGAAACCAAAGTCTAATGGATGGAAAGAGCTTTCCAGTATAAAAATGCTGCTTTTCCTTCACTTACTATTATTCCAGGGAGCAGCCTGGCTCTGCTCCTTGGGCCTCAGGAGGGCTCTGAGCAGAGCAAAATTGGGAGCCCATTTGTTCCTGTGAGTTCACACAATGTATTTGAGACTTGGCTTGTAATCTGATGGCATCAAACCCCTTTTTGCTCCTTTTCTTAACAGAATGTCACTTCATACTTGCAAACCACCAAGTTGTACGTTTGAAAGTTGAGGATTTTTGCTCACACAGGTGATCATTTCTCAGTAAAATATTTACCTTCCCTATATCTCTTGTGTTTTCGTAATGGGAGTTGCTTTAATGACATCATTACCAACTGCCACGCTCCAGTAGTGCCTTGAGGTACCAAAAACTGCACTGCAACACTCATAAAACTGCTGTTGCCTTCCCCTCTGGAAGTTGTCTCATTAGTTCTTGGAGCTGGATGGCAAAAGTGTGTTTAGGAATCTCACAGAATGGGTTAATGGTGCCTTAATTTAGTAGTTAGAAACGCATTTTTGAAAGAGACAGTGCCACAGCAAGGTGAAATTTGAGGCTTGGTCACCTTTGCAGTCAGTTCTCCGTGGGACATTCAGAGAGAAGTGGTGGTCAGTTGATGGTCTTGTTGTTACCACTCATTTATTAGCTCTCAGCAGTCACAGTTTACCCTGGGACAGTCCTGGTGAAGCACAGGTAGATTGTAGTAATCCAGGCTGGAGCACAGGACAGTGAATGTTGGTTGTGGCTTAGGAAAAGCTGGGATTTGGAATCGAGTTCCAAAGCAAGGGCTGTGCCTGAGGAGTTGATCCTGAGCCTGCCCTTCTTCCTGGGTCAGCACAGGAGGTTTGGAAGCTGTGCCAGAGGATGGAGCATCCCGCAGAGGCAGAGGGGATGGCAGTGTCCTGAGCTCCCCCGGCAGGGTGGGATGTCCCAATCAGCCCTTAACGACCCACAGCTGTGGGTGGGGGTGCTCAAACACCTTCTCTGCAGCTTGGAGCCTCCAGGGTGGTACCCTGCTCACCTCCACACCCTGTTCCTGGTGGTAAGGTAGAACTCCAGAGCTGATCTTTGACATAAGGGAGTGGGAGAGGAGGTGGTCGTGGTTGGCTCTTTTTGTTGTCTGATATTTGCAATGCTTATCCAAGGAGTGTGGAAGTTGGACCTGTGCAGCTTCTCTTTGCCAAGGGATTTAGTTTGCACACGGGTGGCATGTCTCATGGTCTTGGTTTTGCTGCAGGTTGTGAAGGGTAAAAATGGCATCACACCATTTGTTTTGAAGGGGAGTAGTGTTTTCTTAGGTGCTTCACCCTTCAGTCTGCCCTGGTGGGTGCAGCAGAGCCACCAGGGGTTGTGAGAGGAGCATTGTCCTCTGCACCCTCTGCACTTTTGGGCTCAGGCATGGCTTGGGGGCAAATGGTTGGAGCCTTTCTGAGGCCATGAGCTGCAGATGCAGAAGGTGCTAGGGGAGCTGTAGAGGAAGAAAGAAAGAAGGAACAAGGACTCTGGAGAAATGCTCAGGGCTGTGCTGGAGGGTTCACACACAGGTGAAAGCAAGCACAGTGCCCCTGGTACTCCCTGGGCCATCTCCCTGCCAGGCAGCAGGTATCAGATGTGTCCCTGCCAGAGATGAGAGGGTTTACTGTCACAAAACACTTGCAGTAAAAATCTTTTTCCTTTGAGGAATAAAACTCGTTTAAAACAAGGAGGGAGGAACCACCATGAGCTTAAAAAGGGGCTGAAATCTTGCTGTGGAGCTCAGGGGCTGAGCCAGGCAGCTGGCAGCAATCAAGCAGCCGTGGGTTAATAAACTCGGCTCATCAGCTGCACAGAGGTTCATTAACTGTGTCCTCGGGCGGAGGGGGCTGAAGGCACTTGAAGGGCTGTGGGTGTTTGGCTGTGCAGCTGGAGCCACTTAGGGATGAGATTGGGGCAGCTCTGATGCCTCAAGTGGGTTTAGAGCTTGCAGGTTTGTTGGAGTTCAACCCCCTGAGAGCCATTTGCTTCTTCTGAGGACCTGTGGGAAAGGGGAAAAATGCCTGGAAGTTGTCCCTTGGTGTGTCAGGAGCCAGACAGAGCTGTTGGATGTTCAGCTGTGTCTCCAGCACGTGGTTATTGGGCTGGGGATGCAGATAACAGTCCTGGTCTCCATTCCCATGTGGCCACAGTAGAAAATCTGGGCAGGAGGAGGCACCTGCCAGATATCTGTGTTGCTGTAACTGAGGCATGTCCCAAATACATCCAGCACAAAGGTCACATCCTAAGCATTTAGTTTGGTGTTTGTTTCTGAAATCTGCAGCACAAAGGTCACGTCCTAAGCATTTAGTTTGGTGTTTGTTTGCAAGGAACATCACCTTTTAGTGGCTGCAATGAAACACGGACATGAGGAAAACACTGGAAATGGTTGTGACATGTGCTGAAAACACTGGTTTGATTTTATTTATTTTGCTTTTGATAACTCTGGGGGGAAAATAAATGAAGAGTGTAATGTTATTTTTACCTCCCACCAAAGAACTGAGGGGAAATGAGGTTTGGATGTGAAGTTGTGCCTTTGAAATGCTTTCCACATAAGTGGCTTTACCAAAATGGAAAGGTGAATTCATAGCTTGGAGGTTTCTAAAAATGGCTCTGCCCAATCTGTGTGGCTGCTGTCACATGCCAAGTGGCCCAGAGCAAGCCAGGCCAGGCAGGCTGGAATCTCTGGGGGCTGAGAATATCCAGGGGGTATGTGCATACTTGTCTGCAACTATCTGGGGCTCCTCTTTGGAAAGGGGGGGCAGAAATCAGTTTACTGTTGCTTTGTGTTTGTGATTGCCCGTTTCTCACTGTCACGGAGTCAATCCGGTTGGAAAAGACCTCTTAGATCCTCAAGTCCAACCTATGACCTAATGTGCTGGTTTGGGCTGGGGTAGAGTTCACTCTCGTCACAGTGGCTGGTACAGGGCTGTGTTGGGGTATGTTCTGGCTGGGTTTAATCCACCACACCCAATACCACTGTTGCCAAGCTCCATCCTCGCCCACTGGCTGTTCCCACTCACTCCGTGGCAGCAGGAGGGTTGCAGCCTGGCCTTCCTGTGCTCACCTGTTGTTGAGGAAAACATCACAGTTCCAGTGTTGCCTTGGGTCCTACTGCAAAGCCAGAGCTAATCATGGCTGTATGTTCACCTCAAGGTGTTGCCTTGGGTCCTACTGCAAAGCCAGAGCTAATCTAATCATGGTGTTCACCTCAAGGTGTTGCCTTGGGTCCTACTGCAAAGCCAGAGCTAATTGTGGCTGTGTCCACCTCAAGGTGTTTGTTGCCTTGGGTGCTGAAGTCCTGGATGAATCACGAGGCTCCTGCAGCCATGCAAAGTCATTACAACTAGTTAGCTTGGAGTTGAGAAGCAAATCTGGTGAAGGTCTCCCTGACGTCTTGCCATACCTTAGACCATCACAGTCCTTCGCTTCCTTTTATTTTTAACCTCTCAATGTGGCTGTGTCCACCTCAAGGTGTTTGTTGCCTTGGGTGCTGAAGTCCTGGATGAATCACGAGGCTCCTGCAGCCATGCAAAGTCATTACAACTAGTTAGCTTGGAGTTGAGAAGCAAATCTGGTGAAGGTCTCCCTGACGTCTTGCCATACCTTAGACCATCACAGTCCTTCGCTTCCTTTTATTTTTAACCTCTCAACATGAGCCTGATCAAGATGTTATCACTCCTGACCTTTGTCTCCTGCTGCAACATCAGAGCTGCCTCCTGTATCCCACTTACCTCCAGCTTCTCCAGGCTGCCAGGCAGGGTCATGGGCTGTGCTGTGGTGCTGTGGGATGCTTTGCCCCGTGGCTGGTGTCAGTGGCAGCATGAAAGGAAAATGCCACTTGGCTGCTCTGAGCTTGGCCTGGTGATAATGCTGCGTGTGTCCCTCGGGGCCGGCGATAAGCGCCCAAAGGGCAGGCAGGGAGAACGTCTCCAGGGGGATCAGCACACACCAGGCCCTATAGATAGAACCACATATATATAGAACAACATGAAAGCTTTTTGCTTTCTTCTTTTCAACAGCATGATGGCTCAGTGTCACATCCAGGGACGCTTTCGGACCTGACCCCTCCGGGGCTCTGCTCTCCTTGTACGCAAGTTCTTCAGTTGTGTCGTCCCAAGGGGAGTGGAGGGTGGAAACCAAACCCCACACAGGCTGCAAAGTGATGGTTTGTAGTCCTGATAAAGGCACTAAGACCAGGGAAAGGGTGGGTTGCTTTCCCTTTATCTTCAAAACGGACAGCAGGACACAACTTTCCTGTTTGGGTTATTGGCTTTGCGTAGGTGTCACCCAAGCACCAAAGAGTTATTGCTGCTGCTGCTGCTGAGAGATAACTCTGGCAGTGGCATCTGGGTGCTGACATTCTGGCCAGCCAGCCTGAAATGAAGATAAGATTTTGCTATATTGAGTAAGCCTATTGATCCAGTTGGCCTCCTGTCCTGTCCCTGATAGGAACTGGATGTTTCCAAGAGGAGCAAGACATTCCTTGTTCAGTGTATTGATAGATTATAGGGTGTGTATACATATCTAAGTTACAATAACTTGCTGTTTCCAAGAGCAGCAAAACTTGCCCTAGTCAGTATAGACATATATTGTGTGGATATCCATAAATGATCTTTTATCTGTCTATCCTTGCTGTGCATTATGGATTAAACAGGGAAGAATTCCTTTCTGAGCCATGTTCTTAGCATCCTGCTTTTCCCTCTTGCCATTTGGA